CGGCGACCTGCACCGCGCGCACGACGCGAGCTACAGCCCCTGCGTGGCCAACGTGTACAACTTCCCGTCCGCCTTCCTCTTCTTCATCGAGACCGAGGCCACCATCGGCTACGGGCACCGCTACATCACCGAGCGCTGCCCCGAGGGCATCGTGCTCTTCCTCTTCCAGTCGCTGCTCGGCTCCATCGTGGACGCCTTCCTCATCGGCTGCATGTTCATCAAGATGTCCCAGCCCAAGAAGCGGGCCGAGACGCTCGTGTTCAGCCGCGCCGCCGTCATCTCGCGGCGGGACGGCAAGCTCTGCCTCATGTTCCGCGTGGGCAACCTGCGCAACAGCCACATGGTGTCCGCCCAGATCCGCTGCAAGCTCATCAAGGTGAGGGGCGGCGGGGCACGGCCGTGCTCTGCCTCTCCCCGGGCCGCTGTGACCTGCTGCAGAGCTGGGGGGAGCGGGAGGGAAGGGAAGGGAAAGGGGCGACTCCTGCCGGCCGGTCCCGGCGCCCTGCTCCCCGCGGACACCCCGCCGCTTGCCCCCGGGGCCAGGGAGGCTGCTTGCTTCTCCTCTTCCCTCCCTGGCTAGAAATAAACGCACCAGCCAGCAGCTCCGGCCTCGGCTGGGTGTCGTGACACTGGCTGAGCAGCACTTCGGGGACGAAGGCATCGGCGGGGGTGGCAGGGAAAAGAGGAGCTGTTACTTAACTAGCAGCTGCTTGGAAATAAGGATGTGGCTGGAAACTGAGGTGCGTTTCAATTCTAACGGGGTCGAAGTGAGTGTGGCAAAGGAAGCACCAGAGACTCTTCCTGCTTCGGGCCAACGATTTTAGTAAACCAACTTGGTCTAATAAGGAAGATCAGCTTCACCGCCTCTGCCTGTGTCCTTAGATCAGGGATCAGCAACACACCCACAATTTCAACATGTAAGATGTTGGCGTGCCAAGGGTGGATGGCGGGCGAGCGACGAAGGGCCTGATCCTTGTTGTGGCCACGTAGCCCCGGCCTCTTCCCCGCCATCCACCCAGAGGCACACATGCCAAGCAAAATGTCTTCAAGTGCCCTGCTCTGGCACCCGTGCCAGGGGTTGCCTACCACTGCCTTAGATCAACAGGGCTACAGCCTACACCCCTCTTCCTGCTTCAGGCACTTTTTTTTCCCCAGATCTCAGTTCTGATCGTCCCTTTAAGCATTTTCCTGCGCCTGCCTTATATCTCAATAGCTCGTTCTATTTTCCTAAGGAACGGAATTTTCTTGATGCACAAAAATAAGGTGAAAGTACAACTCAGGCAGAGGCTGTCTCTGGCAAGTGTTTTGCTGGTGAATGTATTGGAATTTTCCATTTGAAAAGTTTTTGATGCTGAAATTCATAGAGAGGCGCACACTTAGGACTGTGCTGTCACTAAACCCCCAACAACCAGCACTAATAGGGAGTGAATCCTTTTGATTCTAAATAAAGGATAAGCCTACACTATTTTATGAACATCAGCTGTTGTAAATTTAACAGGATCTTAAAGATGGTTTTTCTGTTCCATCTAGCAGTTATCATCTTTTGAGGGACACTTCTAATAAGCTTAATCCAAAAAAAAAAAAAGGGAGGTGAATTGCCTTGGAACTACTTTGATTGTCAGAACCGAGGGTTCAACAGGGGCAGCAATTGATATTTGAGTGGGCGTTTTGTGTTGCCCAGACTCTAACAATGCAATAGGCTAGACTCAGCAATGTTCTGAGTTCTTCGTTCACTCCTCATTAGACAAATCCTCCCTTTTTGGTAAGGTCCAGCAATATGCAGTTCCATGATAAAGACAGATTTCTGTATTTGTAGTATTTTATAGCACTCTGCACCTGAACACAAATTAATGAATATATTCAGGTTCTGAATATAATTATTTGGAGAGTGTTAGGAAATGTTTTCTGGAAGTTTATGTCCAGTTGGTTTATGGTTTGAGCTATGACAGTAGGTACATTTCTTCAGCTGGAAACCTGCTTGCTGACTTTCACATTTCACTGGTAATCATGGGCAGATCCAGACTATGGCAGGGCGGGGATGGATGCTCCTGCAGCCCCTCGGCTGGCAGAGAACACGGAGAAGCCTTGCAGGGAGCAAGTGCATAAAGGAGCTGGCTTGATTTGGGGACGGGGTAGTCCCACAGCCTCTCTTGCCATGCTCCAGCCAGGAGCTGTGGGAGGCAGCTTTGCAGGGAGCTGGGATGGGCTGGGGACAGTGCATGGGTTCCTCCTTCCAGTGACTATTCCCTGCCAGCTCCTATTGCCCACATGTATCCAGGGGAAGGCACTGGAAGGAGAAATGCGCATGCTGCCACTGCTGTCCCCAGCTGAACTGGGCTCCCTGCATAGCTCCTCCCTGTAGCCTGTGGCTGGAGCAGGGCAACAGTGACTGGGGGGGCTTCCCGTGTGCCCGTATCAGCCCAGTGGCAGCGGCAGTGGCAGACAGGTGCTGGGAGGAGAAACCTATTCCCCACTAGCAGGGATCACAACAGGGGAATGGCAAAGAGGAGGTATAGGAAGAAGAAACCTGCCCACTCACTACCAATGCTGTCCACTGCCAAGCCTGATACCCCCACATGGCTGCAAACAGTGGGTGGAGTGGGGCAGGAGTGGCTATGGGGTTCCCTCCGTGCCCAGGTCACCCAGGGACAGCAGTGATGGCAGAAGAGGGGTATGACTGCACTGCTGCACCACCTGGATCTGCCCCTTGTTGGTAGTGCATGCGCTTCACTGCCTTTTCACTATGCGCTCTTCTGGAATTAATTTCACTAGGACAGTGATTCTCAAATTGTTTAGACTCAAGGCACCTCCATATTTTTTCTCAATTCAGTGGCACTCCACTTACATAGGGATTTAAATCGGCAGGAGAGCAGCTTTAAGTTATGGTTAGAATTTCATATGAGACCTATTAAGGGGGTCCATGGAGGGCTGTATTGCATCAGTGAATTTCCCAGCTGCATTTGGTCATGAGCATGGATCCAGGTTTTCCCTTCACTGTGGAAAAATGCAGATTTTTCTCATTTAAAGGAGAAAAACGCAGATTTCCCCTTTAAAGGAAATAAACACAGGAAACCATGGGTTTTCTTTTGCAGGCTGGCAACCTTCCAGCCTGCAAGGAGCTGCTTGGGGGTGGGAAGAGCAGGGGGAGGGCTATTGGAGGTAGGGGGTGCCATGTGCATGTTGGTGCTGTGGGAAGATGTCTGAGCAAGGGGGTCTGAGGCAGTGCTTGCTGCTGCCAGTGAGCCCAGCTCCATGCTGTTGCCAGCAGGGCCTGGCTAGAGATTCCTGCCCCTGCAATGGCCCAGGCCAGAGCCCTGTTTGGCTTAATGCCATTGCTGTGGAGCACAGCACTGGTCATACCCGCGGCACCCCAGCCCCAGCTGCTGGTGCGGGGCAGCATATAGTGCCCCAGCCACTGCCTGTGCTTCTGTGTGAGGTATGATATATGCCCCTCACGCTGGAGGCTATCCCTGCTATGTCCCCACAGATCATCATCCTGTGAGGCCAGGTGGGGCGGGGAGCAGCTGGGGGCCCCCTCTAGCACAGCTGAGGGGCCAGGGGGCTGTGGGTCCAGAGCAAGGGGCAGTGGCATGGGCAGGGCATATCAGAACTGCTCAGCACCACAGAGCAGTGGAGGGGGACCGCTGCAGCCAGACCTGCCTCCTGGTGAGTGAAGGGGGTAGAGAGAGCTCTGATTTTCCATGATCAAAAAACCAAACTCAAACGCCAAAATATAGAGGTATTTAGAATTGATTTTATTATAATGATTGAGGCAGTGGTAGGCTTCCAAATTTCTTTAAGACTATAAATATATCAACAAAACATTGTGTTCAGCTTTATATAGTGTAGGGGCTTTTCATTTTAATCACGGAAAAATGAGGATTTTGGGGGTTTTAATCAAGTAATTTGGGAATTTTTTATCAGTGAATTTGGGATTTTTAAACAGAGAAAACCAGGATCCCTAGTCATGAGCTATTTTGGGAGCAGTGTGGACTCCTTACAGACCTTCTCAGAATTGGGGAGCTTTCTTAGTTGGTGGCTTTTCTCCCTTGGTGACCCCACCTGATTTTGTGTACTGATGAACATAGGTGGGTCTAGGATTCACTAAAAGGGAATGTGGAATGTGGCATGCTGCTCCTCCGATGATAGGGAAATGGAGGTGAAGCATGGCTGGAGCCATGGGCGATTGGTACCTCCTGAGTCTTGGGGGGCACCAGTGACCAATTGGGGGGGGGGGGGTCCCCCAGCAGCCGATCGCCAACCCCAGAAGCGTCACCGGCAAAGCTGGAAGTGCCCTTCCCCCACCAGTCTCAGGGGAGCTTCTCTCAGCACCCCCACTCCCCGGCCAGTGAGGACCAATCTCAGGGGGGGCACATGCCTCCCTACGTGTCGCCTGTGGGTGAAGCCTTTGTGTCAGTGGATGACACCAGGAAGCAGGCACAGGAAGGTGGACCTGCCCACTGCTGCTGTCCCCAGTTGATCTGGACATGGGAAAACCCAAGAGCTGCTCCTCTCACCTCATGGGGCTTCATGGAAAGTGAGGTGGCTGTGGGGAACAGCTGCTGGCAGAATGCTGGGCTCAGCTGGCAGAGGGTGGGTTTCTTCTTCCTGTGTCCCCTGCAGGCACAGTGGCTCCAGCTACAGAGAAAGGGTGCACAAGTTGCTGGGCTTATCCAGAGACAGCCACAATGGTGGAAGGGAGGGTACAGCCATACCATGACACTCTTCATGATGAAGACGTGCTAAACTGTCTCCATGAACCTGAGGTGGGAAGGACCCTATATCCTCTGTGTCAAGACACATGATTGCCTGTGCTAAACCACATAGAAGTCACCCAAAGTGTAATACTGACTTCTAATTTATTGGATGAATGCAAAAAAAGAAGGCATCATCAAAATTAATTGAAGTGTTGGCAATATTAGCATGTATAAAGGAAGCCAGGGCTTGAATAAAACCACCCAAAGAGACAATTTTAAAAAGTCAGAACCACCAACATAGAAATCCTCAGAAAGCTATAAAAGCCGCATGCATGACAGCTTTTGAAAAAATGTTTGACAAGAGTTTTTGAAAAAGAAGGTATTCTGTTTGGAGTGCTGGGTGGAGAGAATCTTGCAGCACAATCAGTTCAGAAAGATGCATAAATAGACGGTTGTTCAGTTTTTAGAATAAGGAAATAATGTAGTAAATTAATCTATTCAAGGATGCCCTCCTGCTGTTTTTTGGAGAAACTTTGTTTTGCAGGTTTGATATGCAGAATCAATCATAATATTTAGATGACTTTATAATGTTAAATATAAAAGGAAGTATTTTTCATGAATTGTATAGCTTCCTTGTAGAACTTGTTGCCATATAATGTCATTGAAACAAATAACATAG